TTTTTTTTTTTTTAAGGACCAGAGAGGTCTTTTTGTTTCATAAGACAATCCTTTGCACAAATCCACACTGACTGCCAGAGGAGACAATCCTACCCTTCCCATGGCAGTGTTTTCTGAGGAATTTGCCTATAATGGGACTGGTGCTTATGCTCTGCATTGTTGCACGTGCCCAGTGGTGCTGTGGGACGGAGGGACTGGGACTGTGACAAGCACAGGACCACGGCAGGAGTAACACAAATTGAAACTGGCTGGAGTCAGTTGTGAAATTTCTGGGTGTGAAGAGCTAAACTGAAGTGCTTGTGCTGTTTGACTTGGAAATCCTGTATTTAGGGATGTGAAGTGGAAGGTACCAGGATGCAACTGTGTTAATGTGACCTTGCAAAGTCCATGGCATTTGTCCTTGGGATTTTCTGCACCATCTTCAGGGACACAGGTGACTGTACACACACCATACATCAAGAAGTACATGTGCTGGATGCCAGCTGTGGGGTTGCATCTGTTATCAATGTCATTGACAGTTTTCACTGTGCCCTGAAGGACCTTTTCGTTCCAAACTCTGTGCTGATGACCCCAAAAGAGGAGTGCTTGGTGACTAATAATGTGCTTTTCTGTGTGTTTCATTCTTTCCACACAGGTTTGGAAATGATGTGCAGCACTTCAAGGTGCTTAGAGATGGGGCTGGCAAGTATTTCCTCTGGGTGGTGAAGTTCAATTCTTTGAACGAGCTGGTAGATTATCACAGATCCACATCTGTCTCCAGGAACCAGCAGATATTTCTCCGGGACATTGAACAGGTGCCACAGGTAAGAGAAGTGTCCTTGCAGAGTGTGCTATTTGGGCTATTACAGCCCAATCCACAGTCTGATGTGGGATTGCATTTTAGTGTAAATGAATGGGGATGGAAAGAAGCTGACTGAGATCTTTCTTGTCTGTGGAAGTGTATCTTTAGGTCCTGCTGTCAAAATTATACTGGTAAATAAGTTGCCTTCTTGTGCAAAGCCTACCTGCACTCCCAGGTCTCCCTTGAACTATGACAAAGTGTTATTGTTGCTGCTTGAACATTTACCTTGTTGTAATGTTTATGGATTCTGTTGCAGGAACATCATCTGATTCCTTTGAATTAAAAGTGGATTTACTCCTGTTATAGGACACAGTAAGAAAGGATAGGGAAGTGCTGGGTTAATGGTTGGACTTGGTAATCTTAAAGGTTTTCTCCAACCTAAACAATTCTGTGATTCTGTTCTGCTGTATGCTGGTTCATAGCCAGAACTGCACCCCTCAAGATTCAGTGAGAATTTGGTGCTGGGCTTTCCTGAAGAGATGGTTACAGCATATGGAACATCCCCGCTCTGGTTTGGATCTAGCCAGTGTTACAAAACCCAAAAACTACTGTGAAGTGCCAGCAGAGCAGCTTGTGTGTATCCAGCTCTCTGTTTTGTTTCATTTCCCAGGTCAATCAGAGGGTTATATTGCATGTAACTGCATGTTTTGTCAATTTTGGATAAATCCTTTTGCCTTCTGCGTGCAGCATTCTGGTTCTAGCTTGAAGAAAAGGGTGAGGAATTCAAACTGCTCTCCAGCTGCACCCTGTGTCACTGTCTGTCTGAATTAACATGTGGCTCTGCACTGCTGGGTCAGGGATAAACAGAGGATGAGAAAATACCTGGCTGGAAAGGACAAGCATGAAGAGACCTTCCTGGCCTCATGATTTCAAGACTGCAAATGCATTTTAAATGAACTGTTAGCACAAGAATGGAAGTGTTTGCTGACAAGGCAAAGTCTTCTGTGACAGAAGAGAGTTTTAAGGAAAATGTGTAAAATACCAACATCCAGTTTTTAGAGTGAACTTTGTGTATCACAGGTAGATTAGTAATATTTGTGCTGCCAGGTGACAACAGGATGAATAAGCAGCAAGATGATTCTATTGCAATAGAGCACAGATTTCCAGTGGATCACAAAGACTGGAAAATACTAGAGAAACATCAGAATTATCTGCTCTCTCTATTTCAGCTCTTTCACAGAAACTTGTCTTTTCTCTAAGGACTTCTGTAGCTTGTGCTTTCCTGTTTCAGCACCTTGTTGCAGATATTGGAAGCTGGGAAACAAAACAGCCAGAATGTTTATTGTTAAACTGGGGTGTAAGTGCAGCTCCCGCCCCAGGGAGCAGCTGTCTTGAGTGCCGAGGGTGATTCTCACTCTGTATATGTTTTTCTTTCCCCTTTCAGCAACCAACATACGTTCAGGCCCTGTTTGATTTTGATCCCCAAGAGGAAGGAGAGCTGGGCTTCCATCGTGGAGACTTTATCCAAGTCCTTGACAATTCTGACCCCAACTGGTGGAAGGGAGCCTGCCGCGGACAGACGGGCATGTTTCCACGCAACTACGTGACCCCAGTGAACCGGAACATCTAGAGATAAATATTAGAGATTATTTAAGGAAACCAGAGAAACAGTAAATACACATACAGAGCCTAACTGCAGCCAGTGACCTAAAATCACACGGCGATAAAACCAGAGTCACCTTTCACCGTGAGGTGATCCTCCTTCCCTCAGTACGGAACTTCAGGGGCAGGGGGGGAAGAGTTCAACTTACACACCAAAACTTATCTTAAAGAAAAAAAAAAAAGAAAGGAAAAAAAAAAGGAGAGAGAGAGAGAAAAATGAAAATAACAAATTTCCTCAGCTGCTCCTGGGTTACCCCCTTTTATTCACTCTTGTCGCGAATGAGTGTTTTAAGGTCACTTAAGGTCGCACCACCACAACTCTTCTTGTTTCCCCCTCCTCCTCTGTCCATCAGTGCATGAAGTTTTAATGCCATATAAAGTCCTAGCCATGCAGTTAAAGGAAAAGGGAGAAACTCTGCTGGTATTTTCTCTCTCTGCAAACGGTCTTCATTTGACATGAAGGGACATGAGAGAAGAACCAAATCCACAGTCCTGCCTTTAAAAAAAAACAAAAATCATCAGTCTCTGCTTTTGCCTTCAACATTCAGCTCTTCTTGCCTGGGAAAGATGAGGTGTTAATCTAACTTTTATTGTCTCTTCTCCTTTGGCACTTTCTTCTGAAGCTCAGCAGCTTCCAAGCAGAGGAAGGGAGA